CCGTGCTCCTGTGAGGAGCACGGCAGACCACAGGAGCAAGGCAGACCACACAGGAGCACGGCAGACCACACCTCGATTTTTTGAGGATGTCTCGAGCGAAATGGCCGTGGTCTGCCGTGCTCCACACGGGAGCACGGCAGACCACCTGCTCATTTTCTGAGGACGTCCCGAGCGAAAACGTCCTTTTTTGACATAAAAGGTTCTAAAACACCTCTGTCGGCATCTCATTTTTTCGAGGATGTCTCGAGCGAAACGCTCATTTTTCATGCATAACAAAATTTTTGATATTTTTCAACATCCCGATTTTTTGAGGATGTCTCGAGCGAAACCGTCATTTTTGACATAAGACGTCTTAAACGATAGCCTCCAACACCTCGATTTTTCGAGGATGTCTCGAGCGAAATGGCCATTTTGGGGAATCCGCCAACGAACCCCGTGCAGCCCCGCAACCCATAGATATAAAGATATATATATATATATATATATATATATATATATTTACTCAAGGATTCAGCCAGAACGTCCCGCTTGCTTCTCGTACCTCGAAGACGCTTCCCGTCATCCGCCAACGAAAAATCCCCGTGCAGCGCGGCAACCCATAGATATAAAGATATATATATATATATATATATATATATATATATAATATCTATATATATTTTACTCAAGGATTCAGCCAGAACGTCCGCTTGCTTCTCGTACCTCGAAGACCGCTTCCCGTCATCCGCAACGAAAAAACCGTGCGATAGCGCAACCCATAGATATAAAGCTCAAGGATTCAGCCAGAACGTCCCGCTTGCTTCTCGTACCTCGAAGACGCTTCCCGTCATCCGCCAACGAAAAATCCCGTGCAGCGCGGCAACCCATAGATATAAAGATATATATATATATATATATATATATATATATATTTACTCAAGGATTCAGCCAGAACGTCCCGCTTGCTTCTCGTACCTCGAAGACGCTTCCCGTCATCCGCCAACGAAAAATCCCGTGCAGCGCGGCAACCCATAGATATAAAGATATATATATATATATATTTACTCAAGGATTCAGCCAGAACGTCCCGCTTGCTTCTCGTACCTCGAAGACGCTTCCCGTCATCCGCCAACGAAATCCCGTGCGGCGCGGCAACCCATAGATATAAAGATATATATATATATACTCAAGGATTCAGCCAGAACGTCCCGCTTGCTTCTCGTACCTCGAAGACGCTTCCCGTCATCCGCCAACGAAAAATGCGGCGCGGCAACCCATATAGTTAAAGATATATATATATATATATATATATATATATATACTCAAGGATTCAGCCAGAACGTCCCGCTTGCTTCTCGTACCTCGAAGACGCTTCCCGTCATCCGCCAACGAAAAACCCCCGTGCAGCGCGGCAACCCATATAGTTAAAGAAAAGATATATTTACTCAAGGATTCAGCCAGAACGTCCCGCTTGCTTCTCGTACCTCGAAGACGCTTCCCGTCATCCGCCAGCGAGGTGCGGGATGCGATCGGTACCCTTTAGTTAGAGAAAATTAAGCCCCTGAACCAACGGTGCACGCCAGAGGCGCTTCCCGTCATCCGCCAACGTGCCTTCTGCACGAAGTGGAGTGCCCCAAGTCTCATGCAAGTGTACGAGGTCGGCGGAATGTAACATTCATAACGGCCCATCTCACGGTTCCGCAATTTGTTTGGGCGTTCCCGCGTAATCTTGGGTACTCTTGGGGTGTGTCACGTGAGCCTGGACAGTGAACCGCCCAGTACGACCCGACGAAACTGCAAGAGTCTCCCGAGAAGCTCCCAAGACGGTCCTAGAGAGCGCCGAGACGGCCCATAAGAACCCAAAGTCAGCCCGCGATGGACCCAAGACGGCCCAAGAGGCCCCCAGTACACCCTAACGCGCCCCGAGAAGGCTCTAAGAGGCCACTCTAGAGTGCCCGAGGAGCGCCCCGATAAGAAAAAAATGTGTTGAATGACTTGGGCGTTCTCGCTTTCTCGTGCTTCTGACAGCCAGGGGCCCAAGATGCATCTAAGAGGACCACAAGACGGCCTAAGCGGCCCCCCCGAGAGTCCCAAGACGACCCAAGAGGACCCCAAGTAGGCTCAGAGAGGCCCCCAAGACTGCCCTAACACAGTCCGAGAGACTTCCAAGACGGCCCTACAGCGACCCAAGAGGAAGTAGGAAGTAGGAAGGCCCCTAGATCGATTCTTGAAGTAGGAAGGCGCTAGAAGTACATTGAGATCTGGGGATCCAATAATTCCAATGAGATTCCCAGGTGGGGGGGATAAGGATTGGGATCATCCCTGTCTGGAACTGGATCCAGATCCTGCATCCGTACCAGGCACAGCGTTCACGTCTGGCCTGTGCACTGGGAACCCATGGGGGATGACCAAGGATTGGGATTAAAGATTGGAATCATCCCAAGAACCGGGTCCGGATCCGGCATCGGTATTGGGCACAGCGTTCAAGTCTGGCCTGTGCACTGGGAACTCATAAGAGATGACCAGGGCTGGGATTAAAGACTGCGATCATCCCAGTCCGGATCCAGATCTGGATCCGGCATCCGTATCCGACACAGCAGTCAGGTCTGGCCTGTGCACTGGAAACCCATCGGGGATAACGAGGGATTGGGATGAGGGATTGAGATCATCACAACCCAGAACCGAATCCGAATCCAGCATCCATATCCAGCACAGCAGTCAGGTCTGGCCTGTGAAATGGGAACCCATAGAAGATGAGCGGGGATTGCGATCAGGGATTGGGATCATCCCAATCCGAAACCCCAATCCAGAAACAGATCCAGATGCGGCATACGAATCCGGCACAGTAACCAGGTCTGGCCTGTGCACCAGGGACCCAGAAGGGATGACCGGGGATTGGGATTCAAAATGGAGATAGTCCCAATCCAGAACCGGATCCAGATGCGGCATCCGTATGCGGCACAACGCTCAGGTCTGGCATGTGCACTGAGAACCCATAGGGGATGACTGGGGAGTGTGATTCGGGATGGAGATCACACGACTCTGAAACCAGATCCAGATCCAGATCCGGCACCTGTGGGAGTCGTAGTGAAGAATACCTACTCTCAACGACCGCCGGGTCTGTGCTCGTGCTGCATGGCCAGTGCGCCATTCCTCCCTACGGCTGCCTTGCGAGGCCGACTAAAGCTTCGGAGGCTCGCTCAGGCTTCGTGGCTCGACACTGCACCCCCCTTTGGCGGCGTCCCTGCCGCGCTCCGCGCGCCAGGGATCGGGGCCCAGCACCATCGAAGAGATCCGTGCGGCCCTCCGAAGGAGTGCACGATGATGCCGGCTTCCTCCTTCGAGACCAAACGATCTCCTGGCCTTCCCCGCGGCCATGGCGCCACAGCCGTGCCGTCTGAGATCGCCCACGCCCGCGCCGAGACGCGCGCAAACCTGCAGCCATCGAGCTGCCATGAGAAACGCTGCACAAGGAACGAGGAGGCGCATGTGTCGGGCCGGGCGAAAGGGGGGGATAGCCAACAGGGGGGGGGAGAATCAGCTCACGCAGCTGATTTTCCCGGCGCCTCCCAGCGCCGGGAGGCGCCCATGCATCGAGGAATGGGCCCGGCGGCGGGGCCGAAACCAGCTGCATGCAGCAGATCTCGTAACCCCCCATTTCTCTATATCCCCCCCTTTTCCCCTGACCTTCCAGAGAGCTATTTTTTAGCACTGGAGACCTAAAAACCTAAAAAACGAGACGAAACAGCCTAAAACCAAGACGTAGAATAGCTCCGGGATAGGTCTTTAAGTCGCGTGCTATTTCTTAGCCCTCCTGGAAGGTCAGGGTCGTTCGGCCCGACCGTGGCCACGGCGAGCCTCGGCCACGACGAGGCCCGCTCCGGTCCAGATCTGGGGAGCGGCCCCAGAGCCAGAGCCCCTCCCAGAGCCCAGGGTGGCCCCCGTTTCTGAAGGGGCCCTGGGACACGCAAAGAAATGCACACAACTAAAAGGGTTCCCCATATTTCCCCATATTTTCGGGGTGTCTGTCTCCCCCCCCACCTCCCGTATGTTCCCATATTTTCCCCTGGGAGTCGACGATCAATTGTGTCTGTGTGTGTTATTTTCCCTCCCGACCAGGGGCAGTGGATAGGTGTCGGGTTCGTCGCCCGACTTCTGAGCCACGGATCGCCGTTTGGAACTCCAGGCGGAATGCGGCCTGTTCTCGCGTCGACCGCCAAGACGGCAGCGACGCGCGCCGAGCACCTCGGGTTACAACGATGACGGGGAGTGAAGACGGTGACTATGTTTTTTGTGGAACTGACCCAAGGCAGCCAGTCGAGTGAGCACCGCGGCAGTCCAGGGAACAAACACGTCCAAGCGACGTGCTGCTCGCGCTGCGCGCGTGCACGCATGGCACAAAAGCGTGTTATTAAACACATTGTAAAGCCAAGGGAATCGAGCAAGCAACAGCAAACCGGAGAGGGATCGACGAATCAAAAGCCAAAGCTGCCTGCTACGACGTGATGGAAGCGTGAAGAGATGGCACTTCCACCTCCACCTCCGCCTCTTCCTCTCCCCCAGTAACCCCTGACCAATATCCGCCGCCTGTAACGAACTGCATCGAGGCATCGCCGCTTGCGAAGCACCTGGCCAGAGACCACGCGAACTTCGAAAGGGAGTGCGATCAAGACTGATGCTCAAATTGCGATCAAGACTGCTACTCAATATTCTGAACTTTGACTAGTAATCATGAAAGATGGCTCTCTCTCCTCCACCTCCTGATCGATCCCCCGCCGCCCCTCACGAGCTGCATCGGCGTCGCGAGACCTGCGGGGCGCCCAAGCGGCGACCCCGCAGGCTTCTCAACTTAGACGTGGGAGCCAATCCGCCACGTAGGTGCGGCAGACACGGTCAAGGCTGCTGCACGGATATGCTGGCGATCGAGCCGGCCAATTCGACGCGTGGTCATCAGTCCCACGTTGCCTCCGCAAACCTGCCAGTCTGGAACTTTGCACGGACGCCCTGGCGTTCTCCACCTATCAGGTTCGCGGTGTAGTCGTCCTCTGTGAGGTGCCTGGGCTCGTTGTTGGGGCTCTTTGTTGAGGAGAGACAGCGGGGCCGATGCAGCATCCGCCGTCCCCGAAGCTGCTGCCCACGTAGGAATCGATTGCCGTGTTGTTCCCGCTGCACTGCTCGTCACACCTGTACCCGAAATCGCAGATCTCAGTGCCGCATCCGCACGGGTACTGCCCGCTAAGCGAGATTCCATTGACCATTGCGCAGGCAGAGATGACCGCGTCGTACATGCTGAACGGTGCGTGCACCCCGTGGTCCAGCACGAAGAAGGGCCCGCTCTTGCGGAGCAAAGACTCATGGTATGACAACCTCTGGTCATCGTCAAAATCAACCTTGTCGAGGATGACCATTCTCTCGAAGTGGCCAGGATTGTGCGTCGACATGGTGATCCCATCGCGCCTCTGCAGTACGAGGACGAAGACAAGCCCCACTAGGAGGACGAGGACGCGCCCCACGGAGCGGGAGCCAGACGATGACGCGCCCCACGCGACCCCGTCCACGGGCTCCAAGAGGCTCCAGCATCGAGAGGTCCGCGAAGCCATTTGGCGTTGGCCTCTGGGTCTGCTCGGGCCAAGATCGCCTCCAAGAGGCCCCACGACATATTCAAGATGGTTACAGATAGCTGAGCATGGCTTAGGATAGCCTCCAAGGGGCCTCAAGAAAGCCTCAGCTCGTGTCTGGATGGGCTGGTGGAGATATGCGAAGCGTCAAGAGTTTCGGTCTGACGGCTGCCCCCTATCTATTTCCGATGCTTGCTCCAGCCGCTCCCCGATCAAGGCTGCCCGCCTGGGTCTCGTTGCTGGATGGGCCGGCTGGGGCATGGAGAGTGTCGATCATCATGACAACCATATCAGGCCAGCCCGCTTCAATCGAAAAGCTAGTTTCTGGGGCCACGTCTATGTGTTCTACCCGCAACGCATCGCAACCAGACGACATGAATGAAACCTCTGAACCCAGTGCGTCAGAACACAGAGGACAGTGCTCCCGAAGGACGTTGCGTCAGGAGAGCTGGATGTCCACGATCGTGGCTGCCTACCACCAGGCGGATCGGGGAAGATGTCCGGGGCCACGTAGATGTCCATCGCATACGGTCAGTCCGCCTTCCCCGCTCTACAATTGACTTGCTGAAGCCGGGACGCGCGTTCCACGGGAGCCCCAAGCTGGTAAACGCAGAGCCGTACTTGAACGGGGTCCACATTACCCTGACCTTCCAGAGAGCTATTTTTTAGCACTGGAGACCTAAAAACCTAAAAAACGAGACGAAACAGCCTAAAACCAAGACGTAGAATAGCTCTGGGATAGGTTTTTAAGTCGCGTGCTATTTTTTTGCCCTCCTGGAAGGTCAGGGTATCCGCCACCGGGGGCCCGAGGTACGAAGTCGCGCGTCCTCAGGTCCCTTGGAACCCTCTGTGTTGAGCACTGGGTACTCTTTGGGGCGCAGGGGCTACAAATTTTTCCAGACGTCCCATGGCCCATCGCAGGACCCCTGAGGCCGCTCACATGACTCCTCAAGAGGCCTCAGGAGCGTGAGTGCGAGCCCAAGCTTCCAACATGGTCTGAGATGGCCGCAAAGCCTATCCTGGACCCTCTTGGGTGCATTTTGAAATGAGTTGGGAGGCTCTCGGGGCCTGCCCAAGAGACGAAGATCGCTGAAGCGCTGTAAATCGCCGTGTGGCCCTGTCACACTCCGCCTCTGGGCCCCCCGACGCCCCCAATACGGGCCCTTCACCCTCAAGATTACCCCGGATACCGCCAAGAGGCCCCCGAGAAACCCTCCTCGAGGCCCCAAGAGACCTTCAAGATGCCTCCCAAAACACACGAACCAGCCTCTGAGAGGCCGCCCGTCCGAGGCCCAGGCACGGTGGCGGGATGGGCCGAAGGCCTGGAGATGGTAGCATGCCAGCCAAGCCCAAGGCCAGACCAGTATCGACACCCCCGTCATCCCCTGCAAAGGGAAATGCAGCGCACGCGAGCTGATCTAACAAGGGCGCTTTGTATGCAGAAGAGTAGCATGTGGGCCACATTCGCGCGCAGCCGCGCTCGCATGCCAAGCTCATTACGAAGCCATTGGTGGTCGAAACATTTCAAGACACAGCTGTTCAACCAATATGAAGCAACACTGCTCTGTTCAACACATATGCCTGATGTCTGACCGCGCGCACTTGCTGAAATCCGGAGAAATCTATACGGGTTCTGCCGTTCTGCCAAGTTAGACCATGCGTGCCACACGCGCGAGCGCGAATGTAGATCACATGTTCCCGCCAGCTCTTTCAAGTAGTACCATGCGGGCCACACGCGGGCATGTGCGCCCGCACGCCGAAATCCATCCAAAAACGATTGCCTTCTAATCATATCAGGGCAGAACTCTTGAACACTGATGAAATCAATCAACATGAGGGCCCCAAGAGGCCTGTCAGATGGCACAAAGGGCTCCGAGTCGCCGAACGATTGGCCCAAGACGGCCAGGCTGGCCTCCAGACGGCCCAAGAGGCCTCCAAGACGCCCTGAGACGGCCAGCAGACGCCCAAGAGACACCCTGGAGGCCCTGGAGGCCCCAAGAAGCCGCCAAGAGGCCCAGCTGAGTCCCGAGAACGGCCCCCAAGAGGCATCGAAAATGCCTCCAAGAGGTTCTCGAGAGGCCCCACAAGAGATTCCAACAGGCATCCAACAGGACTCGGGCCCCAAACCCAGGCACAGTGGTGGCGGGTTCGGCCGAAGGCCACGAGTTCACCAGTTTCTAGAGTCCTGAATCCCACCAGCCCTCTGGGCGTAGGTGGTCTAGGCCGGCTCCTCTTTCAACCCACCTCTTCCCTTCGGGGGGGGGGGTACCCCTCCCCCCCATACCCCCTCCCCTGGACCTGGAGGGGAGTGGTCGCGGGTAGTTGTAGTTGGAGCGGCCATGATGACCCAAGATGGCTCCGAGAGGGCCTCATATAACCCAATGTGACCTCCAAGATGGCTCAAAATGGCCAAAGATACCTCAGGGAGAGCGCGGTTCACGGGCGCTTGCCTAGGAACACTCGGCGGCGCGATTCGAACCGAGGTGTGGGCCTCCCCCCAACACTCGGAGCCGTCATCAGAACCAGGGGGGCTCCCCTCTCCCTAACCCCCCCCCTGCAGAATCCCCCCGGTTCAAAACCCCCACCTCCCCCGGCGCCGGCGCCGGCGCCGCCGGCGGTGGCGGCGGCCAGCAGCGCCGACGGCGGGGACGCAGCGACTATGACCAGAGGGGGCCCAGGGGGAGGGGGGGAGGGGTTCCAACCCCCACCCCCACCCCCCCGCGCCTGCGCCGGCGCCAGCGCTAGCGGCAGCAAGAGGCGCCGACGGTGGGGACGCAGCGACGATGACCGGAGAGGGCCCAGAGGCCGCAGAGGGGAAAGACAATTCGCCATATCGAGCACTCGCCCCCCAAAAGCCACCGAGAGGCCGTTAGGAAGGTCCATGAATCTTCACAAATGCTCCTCAGACGCCCCCGAGACCCATCTGACGAGACCAAAAGAGGCATCCATTAGAACTCTGATCCAAAGGCAAAACACGGTGGCGGGAAGACCCGAGGGCCACACCGTCACCACCACCGCCACCACCACCACCACAAACCACCACACCACCACCACCTCCACCACCGCCACCACCACCACAACCATCACAACCCACCACCACCACAACCACCAACATCACCACAAACCACCACAACCACCACCCTCACCACCCAAAAACACCACCACCACCACCAGCACCACCACAACCCACCACAACGCACCACAACCACCACCACCACCAACCACTGCACCACCACCATCACCACCGCCACCAACACCACCGCCACCACCACCACCATCACCACAACCCACCACCACCAGCATCACCACCAGCACCACAAACCACCGCACCACCACCACCACAACCACCACCACCACCACCCACCATCCACCACCCACCACCACCACCAGCACCATCACCATCACCAGCAGCACCTCACCACCATCAACACCCCAGCCCACCACCACCACCGAAACCACCACAAATCACCACGCCACCACCACCACCACCACTACCACCACCACCACCTTAACCCACCAACACCACCACCAAACCACCACACAACGACCACTACCACAACCACCACCACAACCACCACAACAACTCACCACCACCACCACCACCACCACCACCACCACCACCACCACCACAACAACAACAACAACAACAACAACAACAACAACAACAACCCGCAACCACTACCACCACCACCACCACCACAATCTACCACACAACCACCGCCACAGCCACAACCACCACCACCACCACCACTACCAGCAGCACAACCCACCACCACCACCACCACAAAACACCACACCACCACCATCACCACCGCCATCCTCACCACCACAAGCCACCACACCACAACCACCACCACCACCAACGCTACCACCACCACCATCACCACCACAATCCACCACCACCCCAAACCACCACCACACCACCAGCACCACCACAACAACCACCACCACCATCGCAACCCACCACAACACCACAATCACCAGCACCACAACAAACCACCACAAACCACCACAACCACCACCAACGCCACCACCACCACGACAACCCACCACCACCATCACAAACCACCACACCACAACAAACCACCACAAACCACCACAACCACCACCACCGCCACCACCACCACGACAACCCACCACCACCAACACCACAACCACCACCCGCCACCACCACCACCACAACCCACCACCACCGCAACCCGCCACCACCACCACAACCACCATGACAAACCACCTCACCACCACCACTACAACCTACCACCACAACCACCACCACAACCCACCACCATCAAAACTACCACCACCACCAGAAACCACCGCACCACCACCACCACCGCCATCACCACCACCACCACAACCCACCACCACCGCAACCCGCCACCACCACCAAAACCACCAGGACAAACCACTTCACCACCACCGCTACAACCCACCACCACAACCACCACCACAACCCACCACCACCACCACAACTACCACCACCACCAGAAACCACCGCACCACCACCACCACCACCGCAACCAACACCACCACCACCACCACAACCTGCTACCACAACCACCACGACAACCACCACCACCACCACCAACCACCACACCACCACCACCACCACCACCATCGCCACCGCCACCACCACCACCACCACCACCACAGCCCACCACCACCACCTCAGAGAGGCACCAAGAGACGCCCAAAAGGCGCCCAGGAGGCTTCACAAATGCCCTTCAGAGGCCCCCGAGAGCCCTCCGACGAGACCCCAAGAGGCATCCATTAGGAATCGGACCCAAAACCAAAGAACGGTAGCGGAGCGTTGATGTCGTCGTCGTCATCGTCGTCGCCGTCGTCCTCGTCGACGCGCCCCGCCGCCGCCGCCGCCGCCAGCCGCCGCAGGCGCCGGCGCGGGCCCAGAAGAGGAAGTCGTCGTCTTCATCGACGCTGCCCGCCGCCGCCGCCAGCCGCCGCCGATGCCTGCGCCAGCCCGA